GCCCCGCCGCCGGCGCGTAGGTGGGGGTGGGGGGGGGGGGGGGGATGACAAAGGCATCAAGGGGGATGCAATGCTTTTATTCTGTCCTGCTCCAGCCTGTGGAGCAGGACGGAGCCACGGGGCAGGGGGGTTCACACTCAAGCAGAGTGCAAACTTGCACGGCTGAGCTTCGAGAGGTAAAACCATGGCAGGGCAGGCGCTGGGGCTGCTCACCTGCTGCTGAGAGTTCAGTAACGTCTCAAGGTATTTAGTGACGTGATTTCTGAAGTCCTTGGATTTCTCTTTCTGCAAGAGATGGGTGCTGGAGTGAGCACCAGGCTGAACAAACCACAAAATCCTGGGGGAAGGACAAACCACCAGGATTTTCCTGTTCCTCCTGGGGCTCCGTTGGACACTCTCAGCTGCCCACAAGAAGCAACCAGCACAAGATGCCGAGGAGGAAGCTCACCTCTGGCCCGGTGGCTCCCAGGACCTTTGCCCACCCACCCTCATTTTAATGGACACACTTCTCTGTGTAGAAGCCCCCTCTTAGCCCAAAGACATCAGCTCCTCCTGCAGTAGCGATGCCCCACCTCATCCCTGTAACCAGGTTTACAGATACTGCCAACTGCTGGAGTTAGGAGCCGAGGTGACCCTTGGCTAGCATTCCCAGCCAAGGCACATCAAGGCCAACCAGCTGGAGGCTGCACGCCGAGGGCTAGGCCAAACATACCTCAAACCGTATCACTTCCTTGCGGATGACTGCAGAAATCCGTTCGAAATCCCTTTCGTATTGTGTCACACGAGACTCCCACTGCAGAGAGAGGAAGCGCGCCGTTGCCAGGGGAGGGGAGGGGAGGTGAAGCCTTCGCTCCCCTCTCCGAGCAGTTTCGTAGCCATGACTCTTTGTGTGAGAGGTGCTGCTGGAGCAAAGCCCGGCATTTCAGGTCTTTGCCGCCATGGCAAGCTGCATTCCCTGCTTGCTGCAAGCTCAGCAAGGAAGCTGCGGGAGGTGGGGCCGCAAAACAGCCGCGTCTGTGGCTTCCTGCAGGGCTTGCTCAAGGCTGGCTTATCCCCCTCTCAAAAGGTCCCCTTCTCGCTGCTCAGGGGCAGAGTGCGGGGGGAAGGAGCTGAGCAGAGACCCCAGCGACTCCTCACCCCCTACCTCAGAGATCTCCTCTTTGGCCTGCTGCAGCTTGTCGGGTTTGTTGGCCCAGAGCAGCCTGGCCTCCATCTCCCTCTTCTTCTGCAGCATGGTCTGGGCATCCTGCCACCGCTGCCAGGTCTTCATGCGCTGGTCAAAGGCTCCCTGAAAATGAAGGAGCAGAGCCTGAGCTCTGCCGACAGCGACAGACACACGTTTGGGAAGGGGGGGGCACCAGCCAACAGCACAGCTGCTTCACCAGTCGGGTCCTGAGCCCAGCTCAGCTATAACAAAAGCTGAGCCAGAGCATGGACTTGCTCTACCAGCAAGGGACCCCAGGTGAAACATCAACCACCTCCTGCTTCGGGAGCAGCTTTGAGAGGGTTTGGCAGGAGAGGGGCATTGGAAAAGCCCCAGCTGCATGTACAGTTCAGCACAAGTCTGGGCAGGCCTGAGGCCCCCCCTGCTGACCTGGCAGCACCCCAAGCATAATGCCCAGCCTGGCCCCGAGCTCTGATCCAGCCCCTTTCAGTCCTGCTGAGAGCAGCCAGTACAAGGAGCAGCCCCACCACGAGCAGCTCCTGCAGAGCCAAGCGCTCCCAGCTCCTGCTGACCACAGAGCATGCTCCAGCAGCAGCCTGCAGACATCTGCTGGGGTGGCAGATGATTTTAGCAGGCCTGCAAATCACTAGCCCAAGCAAGGAGGACCCATTAGACTTCCGAAAGTGTCCAGCCAGCTCGTGGGAAAGAGATAAAACCGCAGAAAGCAGAGTCAGAAGGAGAGAGCAGCCAAGAGACAGAAGTTTGAGGCAACACTGAGGTGCCTTATCAGAACATCCCAGAAAAGTCTTATTGCCTCCAGCACTATCAGAGATCTTGGCCCCGCTCTGGAGCACCACCACACCTCCCAGTACAGACTGGCAGACCAAGGGGACTTGTGCTTACTCACTAGGCTGCATTCTGGCCTCTGTAGCCTTCCAGAAACAACTGCCCAGAGACAGGACAAGCTTGGGGCAGGAACGAGTCAGCCCGCCTGACTCGCGGCTCACTTTCGGTCTCCAGCGAGGCCAGTGCACCAGGCACACTGCGGGGACTTGAAGGCTCAAGCTCCTCCTCAGTAGGTGCTTGGCAGATCTCTTTTGCAACACCCAGATCACGGGGTTAGTGCTCGCAGACTCCGCGTAGACACAGCCTCCACCCTCTGGAAGGGCTGAGGCCTCCTGCAAGCCATGAGCCTGCTCCACATCCCCCCTGGAGAAGAGCAGCACAGCCAGGCCTCGCATACCCTCGTGTTCCAATCCAACCCCTCCAACAGGTGCACAACGGGTCAAGCAGCAAGTTCACCCTCTGCCTGGAGAGGTCAGAGACAGACCATGCCCTGCACTTGAATTTAGACCAGCTGCCTCCTGCCACACCGGAGATCAGTGCTAGGACCAAGCACACATAGCCTAGAGCTTGCCCCAAAGGAGTGCTTACCCTCACAACCGAGAGAAGGCGGATGTAGTCTCCCAGGAGCTCGGCCAGGAGGAAGAAGTCGTTGTTAGCCTGTTCCTGGTGTAGCTGTTCAATCTTCTCTTCCACCTCAGCCAGCTGGGACAGCGCCCGGGACAGGGCAGTGTTGTCCTCCGAGCTCCCCAGCATGGCCAGACTCTTTGCAAACTGGGCTGTATTCAACGCTAGCTCTAGTAAACGGAATAAGAGAGTCAAATCTATGGGCCTCACTCCCACCGGGTGCTCTGCAAAGTAAAGCCCCCAGCCTAGAGTTCAGCCCGAGGAGCCGCTTTTCTGTAGCCCCAGGAGATACCAGCTGGAAGAGCCAGCACTGTCTCGGTCAGAGCTGACAGCTTCTGCGGCACGGCAGGAGGAGGGCCAGGCAGCTCCAGCCAGGGAGAAGGGAAGCAGCAGTGTGGGAGGACAGGCAGAGATTTGCAGAAGTCAGCCAAAGCACGCTGAGGGGGAAAAACCATCCCTGCTCCCTGCCAGAGGACAGCTCAGAATTAACAATATCAACTCTGCTCAGGTTTGCTACGGCAGCCTCCATCCCGCAGGATGCCAGTTCACTTCAAAACCGTTGTCTTAAGCTTGCAGGGCTGGACAGAAGAGGTGGGATTACCGTTTGACTTCTGTCTCCCACGAAGAAGAGACCGAGCGTCCTTTATAGAAAGGAAGCACTGCCATATCTTCTCAGGAGTGCCTCCCAGGACACCTGCGCGCTGGTGACCTCCAGTCAGGCACCGCATGAGGCTCAAACTGTCACGGGCCAAGCTACAGAGCAAGCGGTACCAAGCTCGTTACCTTTCCTGTGATTCACCAGCGTTTCGACGACAGCATGCAACTTCCGTAGCCGCTGGTCCTCACACTCCACCTCCTGCAGCTTCTCCTCGAACCACTGAAACAGGTAAAGCCAGAGGTGATTCCCACAGACGGCATCGCTGCAGGGCCGCGGAGCTTTCCTTCCATCTCGCACCCAAAGCTTGAGCTGGGGAGAGCATGCAGCTCTGGAGCAAGCACCAGGACAGCCCAGAGGTGTCCAAATACTTACTATGTCCGATTCATTCATCTTGATGGTCATTTTACTGACAGCATCTGTAGCTTTGTTGAACATCTTCAGTATTCCGGCTCCACTCAGGGTCTGGGTGCCTACTGCTCTCGGGAGCTATACAGAAACAGAGAAGTTGGCTTTGCCAGGGGGTAAAAGCAGCCTGGCCAGCAGCCACCACAGCAGCATCATTCTCCCACACAGACCCTTAACAGCGGGGTTTCTGGCTCGCAGCTACAGCCAAGGATTAGCCAGACACTGCCCAAGCAGTGGCACAACCTGTACAGTATTTCAAATACTGGGACTGGAATGGTTTTCAAAGAGATGAGGAGTTCCTAAACCTTATACTGCATCTGGGGTCTGCCTGTTCTGCTTGGTCACGGTAACGTAGATCTTTAAGAACCAGCCACGTTACTGGAATGCCTGAACTGAGGGCTGCCCAAGCTGCCACAGGTCACGCAGGCACACACAAGTGCTTTGGAGCATCGCTCCAGAAGCCAGCAGCAGTTTGTGGGGAGACACTGGAGCAGAGCGGTGCTTTGGTGCTGGGAAATACTCTACACCAGCCACAACTGTTTTCCAGGCAGAGCTGTGTCTGCTCACCAGCAAAGCAAGGTGTTTCCATTCCATCTGCTCCTGTGTCAGAGCCCTCCACCACAGCATTAGTGCTGGAGTCACTCAGGCTAGGGTTTCTCCCTGGACTCAGACTCTGAATTCTCCACATCAGGCGCACAGTTGGGCACGATCACACTCTCCTTGGAGGAGCAGGGACCACATCGGGCAGCTCTCCCTTAATATCTGAGCCTCAGGGCAAGCCAGCACGGGAAACCGCCCCCCCCCACCACCTCCAAAGAGTGGGCTACACTCCTGCCATGGATTTCAGACAACAAAGACTACCCACGCTCTCAGTGTGTGCCCCGCCATGATGTAAGCTGCTAGGCCAGAGCTTGTCGTGAGCATACAGTGCTTGGACAAGCACCAACAGACAGAAGAGTCCTGTTCTCGTCCTCACTGGTTAAAAGCTCTTACAGGGTTCTGCTGCTTCTCACTGAGCTTTGAAGCATCATGCCTCATTAACTGCTGGTCTACCACTTCCTTCTGCGCTTCCAAGGTAGTTGCAGCTATGTTATTCCATGCTACTGACCTCCTCCTTTTCCAAGAACTCCCTGACATCTGGGTCCTGCAGCATTGTTGGATGGCTGACCACCCTCCGTAGGTACCTGCAGAGAGGAACGCACCACAAGTTATCTTGATTGTAGCAAACCTGGCTCTAAGCCATCACAGTGAGCTGCAACGCGCTTGTTATTGCCTCCAAAATGGCAGCTCGGTAGCTGGAAGTCAGGCCCAGCAAGCTGTTTTCATCCACCCACCATGATCCTACCTCCCCGGGGACTCTAGTGAGACCAGACTACAAGACCAGACCTTTGATTAACACGTGCTAGAGCAAGAAAGTTACTTGAGACACCAAATGATCTTGAACAATGATGCTTTTAACAGATCTTTCGGAGGCTGGAGCTGGAGGGGGGATCAACATCCCAGTGCTAACTACAGCGGTCAACACAGGTGGCAGAGCAAAGGCCACTGGTGGCTGTGTAGTTTGGGTGCAGGTTGATAGAATTATTTCTCACCTGATCTGCACTGTTTGCACCATTACTTAAAATCCTTATTTTTGGGCTCCTGAAACAGCTCAGTTCTGAATTTGGGCAGATTTAGACCAAACACCAGCAGGGGCTTTAGAAGCAGGAGTCCGTTTTATAGAGTCAAAGCAACTCTCTCCAGTTGCAACTCTTTGGCAGCCTCCAGGTTCACGGCAAACCTAGAAGCAGACGGCTTTTCTCATGCAGGGAGGAGAGCTCAGCCAGTCTGACCTTTCAGAGGTCCCTTGCTTGGTTCAGGCATGAGGGGAGAGCTGTTGGGGTCTGTACCTCTCTAGAGCAGCCCGTCTTTTTTCTAGGAACTCTGCAGAGGAGGAGTCTTCCTTCCCAACTTTCACTTTGGTCATTCCTAGCACAGAAGGAAGACACAATTAATGAGCTGCTTCGAACTCCACACACAAGGGAGCAGGGTTTGTTACCAAGTACAGACTATCAGTGACAGTAGAGGAGAGGCATTTTAAAAGGAGAATGAGAGCTTGCACCAACAAGGGCTACTTCGAAATCTGAAATCTGCCTATACCGAATGTCTAGCAGAAGTCGACATCCAGAGAAGAGGGAAAGCGATGCCAGGCAAGAGTGGAAGGGCTGGACTCGGGTGTCTAGGCAAGACTACAGGTCTGGACTCAAGTCAACAGCAGTTCAAGTGACAGTGCAGAGGATAAGGTTTTACTCTATGTCAAGCAGATACAGCGGCATCTACAAACTTGAACGATGCTTTGAGCCCAGAGCTCCAAGTACTGAGCCAGCAGAATTTTGTCTGTGCCACAGAACCCAGATTATTTTCCACACCTGCTTCCCACGGCTGCCCTGCAGCTTCCCCCTCACTTTGAGCCTGCAGGCAGGCCAGTCCCTTGGGCACAAAGCTCGCCTTAGGACCAGCTCTAGTGCTCTGCATCTCCACCACTCACCTATGAGACTCTTCTCAGGCGGTGGAGGAACGATGAACCCATTTTGGGCATGCTTCTCCGACAGCTTCTCATAGAGACCCAGAAAGTCACTGAACCTCCTTTTCACTGAGAACTGCTTGCTCCTGAACATTGGCATGCTTGTCTGGGGGGGAAAAGAGACAAGATTCGGATCAGACTTGCCCAGGGAAGCTCAACCCTGCACGCACAGCCTTGCTAGCTCTATCTGCCGTCACTTCTGGGGATGAAGTAGGACAGCTTGGGCTCTGCAAGATATGAGGAATGAATAGAGCAAGCTTCGGCCTAGGTTTTCAGCAGCTTGCCTCCTAACAGTTCTCCTTGGAGAACTCCCAAGAAGCAGTATTAATGCCAGTAAATAACAGAGCAGCTGGTCCTGCAGCCACAGGCTGCATGGTAAGCCTTGCCCATTGCCTAATCCCATCATCCCTGCTCCCTGCAGGAACAGGGACTGCTGTCAGGTCAGACTTTATCACCTTAAAACTAGAGGAGCCATCAGTGGCTTTTGACCATTCTCACAGAGCAGGAGTGGAGGCTAACAAGTCCCCTGTTCCCCTTCACACACCATCAGCTTCAGACCACAGGATGCCTGTAGTCCAGCAGCCACCATACAGACAGCTAGGAACAGTTTTTTGCAGAGCTCAGAGAAGCATCCCACAGCTCCCAGCTGCAGAAGGCTTGATTTCTTGCAACTAGCCCAGGAGAGCAGGTCCTGACACGAAACTAGCTACAGCAGCAGCTCTTCAGCGAGAGCAGAGTTCAGGTCGGCTTCATCCGATGCGACCATCGGCACGGAACCATTAGTAACAGCCCCAGCATCTGGGGCTCTCCCTAACAGATGTCCTTCCTGCTGCTTGCTCCAATGCTGAGCACCGCTATCAGCCAGCACTGCAAAGAGATAACTGGCTGGAAAAAAAAAAAAACAAAAAACCAAAAACGAACAGCCTTCTTCCAAATAGGTTCAAAACCTACTTCTCAGCTAGGCTCATCCTTTGATCTGTAGGAGTGGATTATAACTCCTGAATCCATATAACAAGGTATTCAGGCCTCCTGTCTATTTAGGTCACCACTGGCTTGGCCAAGAAAGGACAGTCCAGCCATCTTTAAGCATGGAAAAATAATGACACCCCATCATAGGAGCAACGAGTTAGACATACCTGCGTCGACACTTTGTAGGCTACATACGCATTCATGCCATCCCCTGCGGAAAACAGAAGGAAGGCATTAGCATCACAAGATGAGCAGTGTCACCTGAATGCAAAGCACAAGGCTCCTGCAATCTTCCAGCCTTTGCCTGCTTCAGCAATTCCAGTTTTGATGGGGCCCCAGAATCTTTGCACAGGACTGCAGGCAGCACCTCGCTGCGGGACCCTGGACCCCTGCCCACTAGGCATTTCCCCGACCCGACTGCTTAGCCCTCCTTTTACTTCCTAAGGCAGCCAACACCGACAATCAGGCACTTGTTACCCCAACAGCGTTTGGGCCAACTCCACACATCTGCTCAGCATGCAACAATTCGGCAGCTGTGCAGCACATGAAGCAGTCTATTCAGTGGATGCAGGTCAGACAGCCCCTGGCTGCATGCAGTTTGATTCCAAAACATCACGGGCAGCTGTCTCCAGCTAACACAGAAATCCCCTTGTTTGGCAAAAGGAGGGTTTACCTGGTAGTTCAACTGAAGGGCATGTGAAGATGTGTGATGCCATCCCTGATATGCCTCTGATTTACAAGTCAGTGCACCTCTCAGCTCCAGAAATGATGAGGCACAGAGTGAGAACAAGCTGCCATACATAACGCTGCTCCACCGGCTGGGATCAGACGTTACTTGGGGTTCTCTGCACCCCGGGGACTGCCACGTAGCTGGCCAAGTTCCTCTGACCCCCACTTTCAACAGAGAAGCCCCCCTCTTGCTTCTCAGTTTGAAGCCAGAGCTGCTTCCTTGGCGAGCATGGATGCTAGGGAAGGTGGCAGAGCACGGAATAATACACTTAATTTTAGGCTGAGACAGTTTTGCCTGCCACCTGCACACAGGACAGTGCTGCCTGGGGGCCAAGTCAAGTTGGCCACCACAGTTCCAGACACTGCTCTGCTACTGCAAGCATCAGGTTCCACCCTCCCAAAAAACCTGCTCCTGGCTCCCTGCCTTTGAGGTCCCCAGCTTTCCAGGACCTGCTTCTGCCTCGCTCGTTTGTGACCTTGGCATTTTGCATTGTGGAGCTTCATTTCTTCTAGATGTTAGAAGAAGCCTTGGAGAAGTTACTCCAGGACCAAGCTTGCACTTGCAGAGAGCTGGAAAGCCGGAGTTGTGGCATGTGGAAGACAGCTGCGTTGGGTCCTACTGCCAAGCCTAGCTTGTCTAACTGTGCTTCACCACACAGCAGGACACTGTTAACTCACCAACTTTCTCCGGGTCACTCACTCCTACCGTCAGCTCAAATTTGTCCTCCTGTTCCTCCTCTTCTAGCTGTTTGGAGCAAACACACAAGGACGGTGAGTTAGAACTAGAAAGCCAGGCTTCAATCCACCCCAGACCACGAAATCCCACACATTACAGGGAGCTTGTCACACTGCCAAGGCATCTTTGACACTTCAGCATGGCCAAGGCCATTCTGCAAAGCCCTCGAGCTTCTCACTTGTGTCCAGGCTACGTGTTCCAAGGATCCCAAACTGGATTTGTCATTACAACACTGCTACTGACACAGAGCAATGTACAAACTGCTCAGCTCCGAGGTGATACTCTGCGGCATTGAGCTTCAGCTCTGTGCAAGACAGTTCCCTTTGGGCACTTTTACATCGTGATTTCGGTTCTCATCTGAAACAGTGCGAGGTACTGAACCTATGCAGAAGGTGAAGTTGTACTGCGTAGGTACACGGGGATCAAGAGCCAGGACAGCAACTGGCAGACCCAGTCTGAGTGGGTCTTTCCACCACACCCTGCTCTGCTAAAGGCCAGCGGGCAGCTACACCAGCACTCCTGCCCCTGACAGGCCAGAGGCTTCAGGCTTGCTTAGAGCATGTTGCAGCGCCTTGTTAGTGGGATGGGCAGAATGTTAGAAGGACTGGGCAAAGCAGAACCGAGACTGGCCTCAGACACCCGTTGGTCTCTGAAAGTGACAGCTTATCAGTGTGCTGATCAGCTCAGCATCCTGGCCTAGTTTTGGATTGCTCCTTCACTTAAGCCAGTCTGAAGCCAACCTGAGACACCACTCCTGACGGCACCGCAGAGCCAGTCCTCATGAGCTCAGGGGTGCTTGGGGCAGAAAAGGAGCACTTCCCTTGTCCCCAAAATAGTTTCCATCTCTCTACAGGAAAAAAACCCAGATTTAGGCCAAGTACCACCTGATTAACTGGGCTTGGCAACCAGACTCCCAAATTCCACTTCAGAACCCAGGAGACTGTTTCTTTTAAAAACATGGACAAGAGCAGCTACACCACCTGCCCCATCTGTGGCAACACAATGTGCTAGAGCCCCGAGTCAGAGCTCAGACCCTCAGGACCAGATCAGCTGCTTGCAATTTCAGCTTCGGAAGCAGTCCACACCACCATAGGAGCAAGAATGGTGTCAGGCTGACCCGAACCCCACTTCAGCAGCATCAGTCCCAGACCAATGGCCTGAGATACCAGCCAGGGCATCCAGTACGGCAATTAGATTAATCGCGTCATTTAAGATGCAT